AGGAGTGGTAAGAAATGTGTGTGAGGAGATTCAGCATGGGTGTTAAGACTTTGTCCATATTTTGTACATAAACATGATTTGGGGTGTTGAGCTGCTCTCCTTGAGAATCATGTCACTGGTAGATCCTCAGTGGAGTAACTATAGAGGGTAGATTAGCATCCTGTCCTTTGCAAATGGGCAGCTGTGGATTTAGTACATTGAGCTGGTGGTCGATGGCTGAGATCAGCTCAAAAACATGGGCAATTGGTTTAACACAAATTATCAAAAGCAAGGAAAAAATCAGGCTGTTTAGCTCACTCTTTCTAATTTGAGGAATCTAAGGGTACTCCCAGTACTCTGAACTGGGGATGATTTTGCCTCCCAGGAGTTTTGGGCAGTGTTGGAGACATTTTTGGTTGCATCTTGGTGGGGAGGTGCAGCTGCATTTAGTGGGTAGAGGATGGGGAGGCTGCTAAACATCCCACAGTACCCTGGACGGCCTGTCTTTCCCCCTGCAGAGAGCTTTCCTGTCTGAAGTGTCAGGAGTGTTGAGATTAAGGAATATCCCTTAGAGTAAAAGCATTTCCTTTTGTCCTTAAAGCTTCTTTTCTTTTCTGATTTTTGGGGAGATTGTTTTTTTCGTGTTGGTACTTTCATGCCTAGCAATAGTAGGTTAGATATTTAATTAACTCATCAATGGGGAGAATTGAATGTGGACCTAAACATGATTGGCTACAGTTTTGTAGGTAGGATTGTGTATTGGGGGAAGAGTGCAGACTGCCTGCGTGTGAACCTCAGCTCCCCCCTTTCCTGCTGTGTGGCTGAGGCAAGTGACCTTATCTCTCTGTGCTTCAGTTTCAGGGATGTTTCAGAATTTCTGACTCATTGGGTTGTTGAGAAGCTAAACTTGAGTGTTCGCATAGTTTTGTCGCACAGTAAACGTTCAGTAGTGGTGGTATATCACAGTGTTGGTACTGGGACAATAGAGGCACTTGCTGTGATGGTTTGGAGTGGGTGTAACAGGCCTATGTCCATGTCCCAGGTGCAAACAGAGGTTCTTCAGAAGAGGCAGCGGGAGAAAGCTCACATGATGAATGCCATTAAGAAATATCAGAAAGGTCAGTATTTCTCTCTCCTAAGGATACAGGGGGCAGGGTCCCTGCTAATTCTGACACCCAGTGTTCTGGAGAATTGATTAATTTGGAGCTATTGGACGTAGGG